TCTCCTTATTGCCAAAAGAAATGTTCATGAGTGATATTGCTACAGTACGCCGTACGTGCTTCGGAAGCGCCATCATGTGCTAATGCTCAACTGGTCAAAAATTGCCGGAGTCGAACGGCGCTAAAAGTTTTTAATTGGCTGCTGAACATGAGGTCGATGGAAAACATTAAGGAGTCCTGGATAAATGGAAGTAAGAGCATTGGATATGTTCATTTTTTATGTAATTTTGCCAGCTAGTTCGAGAAAGGTAAACGAGCTTTCGCCGTTTCGTAGCTCTGTTGGATTTTATGCTTCCGTCGTAGACCGAATACTCTGATGTTGTCAACCGCAGCTTCTCACGTCGTCGTGACTTACAGATGATACAGTAAAGAATATTTCTAAGAATGCTAGTTTTCAGAGTGCCCTATGCATCTTCTAAACGGCGAATGCCGCTTGGAAGTAACGATATCAGTACAATCATGAAACGCTTTGTGTTCCAGCGGTGGTCAGGAAAGGAAGTGACGATTTCTGAATAGATTTAACTTAAGGCATTGACATACTTTTGACTTAATGGCGCACATTTGATATTATTTGGATATTAATCTTTGCCACATTTCCATTTCCAGCAAGCAATTTCAAACAACCGTAAGTAAACATTCAAAGACTACATGAAATCAATCTGTCTTTTACAAGCAGAGGCTAATCCTTCTGAGGTGGGAAAATTCCAAAGTTACTTCGTAAAGTGGTCGTAATACTTTAGAGAGTAGTAAGTGTTCTTCCAAACTGCATGAAAGATGAAAAGTGTGTGGTGCTGACCGACGAAAAAATATTCTCAATCGATGGTGAACGCACTTGCAAATGCCAACAAACGAAGAACCTGCCAGAAAGGTAAGAAATCCAGCACAAACGATCTCACAAGACCAGGTTCCAGTCGGAAAGACGAACTGGGAAAAATTTTGAGCTAAACGAAAAATAAAGAGACTCTTGACCCGAACGGAGTTCCGGTAAAAACTTGGAAGGCACCGTGTAAGAAGCTGTGGTTTGGCTTTTCTTCAGTTTTCAATAAAATTGTGGAATGTGAGAAGATACGGGAACCACGGCTTCAGAATAATTTGATGCCAAATGCCTATGTACAGAATGAAAGACGACATGCTCGCCTATGAAAACTCTCAGGAATTAGGCTGCTTAGTCGCACCATGAGGTAATGTGAGAGAGTGCTGGACAAAAGACTGAGGAAGGAGGTCGACAACACCGCGAAGACCTACTGACCTACTTTCTTTATGCCAGGCCGGTCAACAACGGATGCCATCTTCCTTTAAGATCAGTCCTCGAAACATGCAGAGAAGGCAGACACGACATTCACATGATGTTCCTAAGCCTGAAGAAAGACCAAGAAAGGCCTTACCTGGAATTGACGCCAGGCGGTTACCAGGAA